GGTTCTGTGGGCGTGGCTTGGTGGGCGTGGCAGGAGAAGGATATACTGCAAAATCCCCCTCCCCTCCCCACCCCACTAACCTGCTTTCCAGCTCCGTTCTCCTGTGCAGGGCAACCAAAGAAGACCCAGCCGATCAGCTGGGACTCAATGGGAGGCGGAGAATAGATGGGTTGGTATGGCCAGTCAGAGGTGGGATTTGCTGGTTCTCCAAACTACTCAACATTTCCGCTACCGGTGGTTCTCCAGAACTGGTCAGAACCTGCTGAATACCCACCTCTGGTGGGGAGGGCTTGGGGATTTTACAGTATCCTTCCCCTACCATGCCCACAGAACCAGCAGTAAAAAAATTTGAATCCCATCACTGCTTTCTACCAATGGTTGGAGAAAGGAGATGTGGGTTGGGGAGGAGGAAATGTGGAGGGAAGAGAAGAGAATCCCTGATGAAATATGGTCTGACCTTTCGGAAAAAGAATGTGAAGAGGACAGAACTTCCCATCACTTTAATTATCGCCTTTCCCATTGAAGTGGGCATCATATGAAAGAGGAGAACGTGCCCGTTGGCTTGCAGTTGCTTACTTCATCAAGAGTTCTTCAACGGCAAAGGTCAGCCAAGAAACCCCAAGAAATCTCACTCTGAGCTGCTTGGGGGGGGGGGTTGTGGACAGGGGTAGTCAAAGGTTGCTAAGCAACCATACCTCTTCCTCCTTTTCCAAGCACTCCAGCAACAGAGTAGAGCATGGGTAGCGTGAGAAAGTAATGGTTTAACCCAAGTGAAACACACCTAAATTCATCCTTGGGTTGGGCAGGAGCAAGTTGGGGCCTATGCATAGGAAGAGTGGGAGAACTATTTAAGGAGGGGGCACCTTCCCTGCCCCCTTAACCCTCAGCATCTGGAGGGGGGCGGTTAAGTGCCAACATAGTAAGGTCTCTCTCTCTCTCTCTCTCTCTCTCTCTCTCTCTCTCTCTCTTGCAAAGGCTGATGTAGCCCAGAAGCCCGTAAGAAAAATGCAGGTTAAAAGAGAGAACTATTTAAGGAGGGAGACGTCCCTCCTTCTCCTTCTTTACTTGCTTTTGGGGTTAAGGGAGATGCAAATGTTCTGCTCCTTGTTCTTCTGGTGGCCTCCACCACCGTTGATTGATGTTGTTGTAGTGTGTCTTTCATGTTCTCTCTCCATCTTTTACGCGGTTTATCTCACGTCCTTTGGCTTTCTCTTCTTATACGTGCCTTGCACAGTATGGAATCCCAAGGCAGAATAACAGACTTGGAAGGGACCCTTGGAGGTCTTCTAGCCCAACCTCCTGTACCCTTCCAGACAAGTGGCTGTCCAGTCTCTTCTTAAAAGCCTTCGGTGACGGAGCATCCACCACTTCTGAAGGGAAGCTGTTCATTGTTCTGCCAGGAAACTTGTACTTAGTCCTGGTTGAATCTGTCTGATAAATTTCCACCGGTTACTTCTTGTTCTGCCTTCAGGTGCTTTGGGAAATTAAGTCAAGCCCCTCTTTTTTGGGGCAGCCCCCTAGATATTGGAACATTGCTATCATGCCACCCCTTAAATTTTGGATTGAAGAAATCCCAAAACCTCAGGAACCCCAAGATCCATTGTCCCTATTTATTCGTTCATCCCTGTGGCTCAGCTCCGACACTCCATCCCAGCCGCCCCCTGCTTTTGAAAAGGATGGGCTACACTTCCCCCTTAATTGGGCTTGTCCAACCATGTTGGACGACCCCCCAACCATCCATGGCCAATGTGTTATTTCACGGATTCAATTTTGTTGTGCCGAAATCCCATCACGGGGTAACAGCTTTCCAAATTGCTTTTGCAGATGTTGCAAACACATCCCCGCTTTCAGCAAAGAGGACAAGCCAGCAATCAGTAGTCCTAGCCTGAAATAAGAGGTGAATGGGAAGAAGTTGGCTTGTAATAGCACTGAACTGGAAGGAAGAGGTGGGAGTTTAAAGCGGAGGTGCCCATTATCTACGGAGCTTCTTGGTCATCGAGGTCACGATTATCCCAAAGGTATTTTTTCAAGAGGCCAATGGACTTTCGTTGTTTTTCCTTGAAGACGTTTTGCTTCTCATCCAAGAAGCTTCTTCAATTCTGATTGTCAGAACTGAAGCAGCTTCATGGATGAGAAGCGAAACGTCTTCAAGGAAAAATGAAGTCCGGTTGCCTTTTGAAAAAGCATCGATGGGACAGGGATGTGCAACCTTGACAACTTTAGGACTTGTGGACTTCAACTCCCAGAATTCCCCAACCAGCCATGCATGCTTTAAACTTAAGCCTTAATCACCCTAAAGGGTCCCTGTTGATAAATCTTGCTTCTCAGCTCCCCCATCCAATAAATCTTTTCGTTCAACTGTTCAGGAAAATGGTCTGAGCGCTTCTCGCAGTTACCTGAATCTTCCACCCTTCCCATCCATTGTCTTCAATCTGCTCATCTTCTGCAGCTTCCTTTTATCATTCATCCTCTGGCAAAGCCTTTTCCCAACTGTTCTGGCTCAACAGCAGAACAGTTTTATAGATTTGTAGCCTCTCCCTTCCAATGCTTTCCATTTCAGGATACTGAAAACACACATCATCTTGGTTTTAGAAATAAACAATCATCAGTGAGGGTCAAAAGAGGAGAAATCAATCTGCTAGCTTAGACTGAACTCCAGCTCCATATTAACAAAGCTACTCTCAGCCCTTTCTAAACGGATGTTGACAACAACTGAACCTCCAGATATGCCAAGACAAGATGCCCAATGCCCCAAGAACTGCCTTTCCAGCCTTTAAAGGCTGGGCTTCATTGATGGAATAACACAATAATTCAAAACCCCCAAAGCTCCTGAAAAAAATCATTTAACAACCCAAGAAAGGCCACGACAGGGCTATTTTTATCCCACTAACACAAAAGGTCAGGAGGATTTCGATGCAAGCTTGACTCTTGACGACCAAGACAACTTTATTGGAGGGGGTATGTGTTTGTTGTTTTTTCTTTTTTTGAAAATGTGTTGTTGGTTTACTAGCTTGCAGCTTTTTCTGTCTTTGCCTGGCCAAGATTAGCAAGAGATCAGCTAAAGTTGGCTGTGTACTGCCATCTGCTGAGAGGAGTCCAAAATTAAAACTTTTTTAAAAAAACTGCCCCTGTATTCAGAACAGGACAGATGCCAAAGCAAAGTTAAGATGACAAAAACTTCTCCCCTTAGGGCAAGATGCCAATTGGGGGGCTCAGAATGAGGGGAGGGGGGAGAAGGCTGCCGCATGCAGAAGGCAGGTGGGAAGACGTTTTTCCCGGCCCCCACTCTGCACCCCCAACGCTGCCCATGCTCCACAGCCCATCTTGGTCCTTCTCAGCACCTTTAAGATGCCTGGAGCTAAGAGGCAGCCACCTGGGCCCACCTGCCAGGCTCTGCCTGGGGCAGCCTCCCCATCAGACCGCCCAGGGCCCTGGCAAGGCCCCATTTCACCTCGCAGGCATGTGGCGACCCAGCTGGGCTGAAGATCGGTGCCACCCTGCAAAAAGGCAAGCGCCCCTCCCCCCCCAAACTCCTGCTCCTTCCAGACATTGGCTGGGTTCATTGAGCTTCAGTGGCTGGGGCGTCGTGAGGAAATCCAGAGTCCGTTGGCAAGACGCTCCGAAAGCTTTCCCTGTGCTTAACCACCGCTCTGTCCGCTGCACCGGTGGTTCACATGAGGGCAATTAATTGGCACGACACATGGCAGAGGCAGGAGGGATAACGGTGGAACGGAGGAGGAGCGTTTGAGGAAATAAAAGAGAGGGTTGCGTTGAGAGAGAGAGAGAACGAAGGATTTTCCCTGGGTTTCGGGATAATTAAGGAAGGAGGAAGAGATTAGCAAGCCAACAAGATTGTTCTTAATCTGAGAGGAGGGGGGTGAGAAGAGGCAAAGGGGCCCCCTGAAAGCTGCTTCCTTTGGGACTCCTTCCGTAAGAGGCCTGCGTGGGAAACAGCAAGAACAAGGTGTGTGTGTGTGTGTGTGTGTGTCAGCAGTATCCAACCTTGCCAACTTTTAAGGCCAGTGGACTTCCATCGCCCAGAATTCCCCAGCAGCCATGGCTGGCCAGGGAATTCTGGGAGTCGATGTTCACGGGGCTTAAAAGTTGCTAAGTAAAGTTGGACAAACCCGGTAAGTGAAAGATGCAGGTTGGTGATCAAAAGCAATTAAGCCAAAAATCCTAAAGTTAAAGAGCGGCGCCTGGCTGGGAAACAAGGGGCCAATGAATCCACTTCTGAAGGCCAGAATACGGGACCGTGCAAGAAGAAATATAGGCGACGTGGCTGAAATCATACCCTAAAATCATCCCCCCAAATAGTTAATGCAAACACTTCCTCCACCCCTAATGTGAGCACTTCTTTTAGTCTTTCAACAGCTGGTTTTTTGTTTTGTTTTTACTGTGTGCAGGTAGTGCTTTAATTTTAAATGCGAAACAAACCCAAACCAGAGAGGGATACCCCACCCAAAGCACAATCTGCCCCTTCAAATGCTGGACTTGGGGAGTTTTATTAGAGAGATGCCCTCAAATGAAGAGATTGGTGGGGGTGGGGGAGAGAAAATGCTTGCCAATAAAAAAAAAACCACCAATATGCAGGGATTTGACCAGAGAGAGACCTGGGCATTGAGGGAAACGCACCAAGAGGCACCTGGGGAGGGGGGGGGGGCCCGGGGGGGGGGGGGGGGGACATAAAGGAGCCCCAGCCTCACACTTCTTGCTTGACCTACCAGGTGGCTGCAGGTCCCCCGTGCCAGGGGCTGGTTTAGTCAAGACCCCCTTCCGTGGGAGCAGAATTCCAGAAAGCCCAGAGGCTTTTCTCCCATGGCGAATGGGCCAGGGGGCCTCGGGGGACAGGAAGCGGGGGGGGGGGGGGGGGGCCGCGGGGGGGGGGGGGGGGGGGGGGGGGACAGCCACCCCGTCCCATTTTCCCTTCTTTTAAATCCAGTCAACACAATCCCCCCCCCATCCCAATGCCAGAGAGTAAAGGAAGAAAGCCAGTAAAATCAAGGCCACGTCGGCACTTTTATGAGCCTAGAAAAGCAGCGGCTGGAAGGTTTGTTTGTATATCCCTCCCCCCCCAAAACGCCCCTTTCAAGTCAGGTGTGCTTTAGGAGCTCCTGGCAAAAGAGAAGCGGCCAGGTGCGCGAGGAGAGGAGGAGGAGGAGGAGGAGGAGGAGGGCGGCTCCCTTGGGAAGCAGCTGCATAGATGCCGTTTCTTCCCGTCTGGCTTTTGAGGTGGGGCTGCCCAGAGCTCCAGCAAGCCAAACTGGGCTCGGCCCAGCAGAGAAAGCAGCGTCATGGCCCCGATCTGGACCTGTTGGGGGGGGGGGGAATCTTCTTTGTGTGGAAGGTCCAGTCCGTGGATCACAGGTTCTGCTGGGAAAGTTGTTTTCTGAGGTCCAGAGACCGTGCGTGTGTGTTTCCACTCGTGGGACTGGACGGGCTCCAAAACGACCACGGAAACATCTCCGGCCACCTCCGGCCCTGGCAGAACTCCACGGAGGGGGAAGGGGAGATCAGGGAGGGGTCAGCCTCGGCTGCAGGGAGGAGCGTGGTCCGGTCCGTCCAGGAGGGTCCTTCCGAGGCGCAGAAGCTACTTGATGCTGGCCAAGGCGGCCGCCCTCCGCTCCGTGTTCTGGAACAAGGCTCGGATGAGGTTCTTCACCTCGCTGGAGGAGAACTCCGCGGCCAGGGGGCCTTTGCTGCCCGCCCACCTGGGGAGGAGGAAGCACAGGGGACAGCTGTGGATTTTGGGAGGGGGGGAGGGGGGAGGGGAGGAGGGGCTTCTCCAACACCCCTCCCCACAGCCTGGGTGATTAGGAGGAGGCTGAAGTTTCGCCAGGTTTCTTCCTCCCTTCTCAAACGGAGCTGCTTGAGGAAAGGTGGCCATTCCTGCTGGAAACGCAGGAGAATCAAATGACACCAAAGCAGCGCGGAACTGCTACCGCTTGAGGACGTGCCGCTGGTTTGCCCGAGATCAGGAGGAGCGAGCAACTCTGGAATCTTTTCCCACCTGTGGGACCCTCCAAATCCCAGGGTCCCTGAGCCGGCAAAGGCTGGTCCAGGTATTCTGGGAGTTGAAGTCCACAGGTGGGGAAAGTGGCCAGAGCTGCCCACTCCTGGCCTAGATTAAACTTTCTGACTTGGGGGGGGGGGCAGCGCAGCGGGAGAAGCCCCCCCCTTCTCTGCTCCCCGGGGGTCCCGTTTCTCCCCGCCCCCCCCCCCGCCCTCCCTCCCCCGGTGCAACTGGACGGAGGTAAGAGGCGAGGAGACGCTCACCGGTCCACGATTTCTTGCAGGCTGGCCTGCAAGACCAGCATGAGCTCCTGGAACATCATCCACTTGGGCACGTAAACAGGCACCTCCTCCTGGAAGGGCCGGTTCTCCTTTTCTTCCGGGAGGGGCACGAAGATCCGGGGACCCTCGTCCACCACAGTCTTGCACAGGGCGTGCAGCCGGTCGGCGTTCTCAGCGGAGATGTCCTGCAAAAGGGGAGGGGAGGGGAGAGTGGGCAAGGGAGGCGGAGGGGCTGACCCCACCACCCCAAGGCCTATCCAGGGGGGGAGGGCTTCTCTCCCGCCCCGTCACCCACCGGCAGGCACGTTCCCGTAGGGTCCAGTGAAAATTCCCCCAAGCGGAGGAGGAAGTGGGAACGGCTGCCAAACGTGCAGGGACCTGCTCTCTTCTTTTTTTTCTTCTTCAAATTTTAAGTAATTTATTTCAGCGGGGAAAAAATCCATTTTAAGTTCATACATTAAGCTATCTTGAAACAGCTTATGGAAACGCACAGTTGAAACATACACACGTGGTAAAATATTTTTTAAAAAACTAAGAAAAAAAGGACAAGTAACAGCTAACCTACACCTCACTCGTAAAGGTCACAGTGCATTGACCCCCATCAAAATAGCGCTTGAGGTCGAAGGGAGGAAAATATACTAAAATGCCTTGTGGGTAGCATAATGTAGACTTTGCATTGTTTTTACATATGTGAAGTTCATAAAGATGTGAATAACCATACGTTATGTTGTTATGAAGGGATACAAAAAAGACAAAAATTCACTAAAATCTCCCTTTTCCGCTTATCTTCTAATACGTTTATGGTAAAGTAGCCACATTAATTAGTAATAAAAATGGGTCTTTTCAAGGTCCCACAAAACAGGTGGTCCTCAACTTACAACACACAGAGAGCCAGTTATGGTCACACTTTTGTGATGATTGTAAAGCAGGTGATTCATGGGATCAAATTGATTTTATTGGGGTTTTTTTGTTGGGGGAGGGGGTTTACTTTCAGGCATTTTTACCAAAACCCAAAGGTCTCAGCTTCTAAGGTAAGCTCTCCCCAGTCGAGAACTGGTTGGGGATTATGGGAAATCAGACGCAGCGCACCTGGCTGCAAAGGTTTTGGGCCGCCATCCCATCCGACGAGAGAAGAGACCCCTGAGGCGCTTCTGTTAGGCACCTGTCCCAACTATGCTCTTTTTAACCCTGCTGGGAAACGCACATGGCAGCCCTCCGGTCCAGAGGTGGTCCAGGCAAGATTTAAGTCACCACTGGCTTCTGCTTCAAAAAACAACCCAGCCACATCCTCTGACTTCGTTAAAACCAGGCACCTTATTTGCCAAACACACTTTGCTCTGATAAAAAAAAAGCACCCTCTTAAAAGACAGCACAGCTCTCTCCGTGAATCTAGAAAGCACAATCCCACGTGAGCCACCATGTAAAAACCTGGATCTCTAGAAACACGCGTGCATGGAGAATCCTTGACGCACACAGACAACCCCCGTCAGTCCTCACCTCCAGAGCAATGACCCTGCCAATGATTTCCCCCAGGGCGGTGTTCAGCAGGGTCCCCATGGCCCGGCAGTAGATGTTCACCGGTAGAACATCCTGCCAGATTTTGCCAAGCCTCTTCAGTTGGTGCAGAACCTGGAAGAAAGTGAAACCGTCAGGGGAGAGAACCCGGGGAACAAGGCGACTGCTTCGTCTGGCAGGGCCAGAGAGGCGAACGAATCCTCCAAAGTACAATCCAGAGTGGAAGAGCGAGGATGGAAGACCCTCCCCCCTCCTCTCTCAGCACACAAGGATTCAGGGGCATCTGTAGAAAAACAAACAAACTGGCAGCAGGAGGAAAGGGGGTGGGGTGGAATCTCCAGCTAGGCTGGAAGGAGGCGCTAAGCGGGGACCAAGCTTGGAGTCCTCGCCCTGCAGAAAGCAGCAGAGGCCCGATCTCCTGCAGAATCCCTGGAGCCTCCCCTGACCCTCCCCAAGGCAAGGCGGTCTCAGTCTGGTAAGATTTTCTTGTAACAAGAGTGAGTACAGGAGCAAGAAAGCTCCTGCTTGAGACTATTCTGGTTGCTTGCGTCTAACAGAAAGGAAGTTTTTGCACATAATAATGCATTGTTCCGGTGGCAACGGGTCTTAAACATAATGGCCTTCAGAGGCAGGTGGTCTCAGGAGCATTTAGTCAAGTGCCAACGTGGAGCCTGCAGAAGCAGGATGCTGCAGGGAGGTGTTGTGGTCCGCCGGCGGCCTGTGGAGCTGGCAGCAGAGTCGGACAGTGGGGAGGAACATGGGCCAGTGCCCATGTTCTGGGGAAGACTCAGGCGAGGGTCCTGCATCCGATACAGAGACGGGGCCAGGGCCAACTGGGAGTTATGTGCTGGCTGCAGAGCCTCCAGGATCTGAAAGCAGCGAGGCAGAGGAACAAGGGGAGCCTGTTCCCAGTGTGCGAATGCGCAGAGCTGCCAGAAGACAAGAACAGCTAAGACAAAAAGGGGGCAACTTGGGAGTAAGGCTTGGAGGTGATTGGCCCCTCCCATAAGACATAAAGGAGGAGCAAAGGGATAGGAGCCTTTGCAGGAAGCTCTGCAAAGATCAGATTAAACCTTGAAGCTCTGTGTTGAATTTGTGTTCCGGTTGGCCTTGCATAACTAATCGGAAATTTAGTCATTGGCAGCATTTCAAGGAAGATAAAGGTGCGTGCTTATCAGGCTTATCCCAAAGGACTTTGGCAGACTTCTGTGGGACTATGAACAAACTGTTTGAGACTCATTACGGGCTGTGAATGAGTAAAATTCACAGCCATTGAAATAAAAGAAAAAAGGGTCTTGGGACTAACGTGTGTTTGTTAGTGTCTCCACAAGCCTTGGTCAGAACAGGAGGGACCGCATGAGGTGGGGGGGGGGGGGGGGAGAGAGGGGCCTGTTTAGGGTAATCCGTAACTTCTTTAGGTTACATTCAGGGTCTGAGCGACTGGATGGAATCCGGGGTCTAATCGTCCAGGTTCCGCCGAGCGCCCACCCCGTTCCTGACCTGACGGACAGCTCTGTTCGCCGCAGAGTAGTTGTCCTCATCATCCAGGTTGGAGAAATTCCTCGAGATGGAGAGTCTCTCCAGAAGCTCCTCCTTTTGGACCCGCATCTGGGCGAGGAAACACTTCGTCCCTGGGGAGAGGAGGAGGAAGCCCATGGGCCACGTTTCGAGGGGCGGGGAGGAGAGGAGAAAAACCTTGGTAGGGAAGCCGACAACCACCCTCATTATTATTTTTTTTGCAAAATGGATATTTTACAGCTGGGGATTTTTTTTTTTTAAATGGGTCAGAGAAAAATAATGTTAGTTTCTTTTCTCTTTTCTTGCACCTTTTCCCCATTAGATTTGACTTCTACATGTAAACTTCTCCATAAATATTAACTCTGAAGAGAGGGAAGGCTGTTTGCATTCTGGGATGGTTTGCCCAGAAATACCACCCAAAGGACTCTCAACGGAAAAACTTCTGTGGGGTGAGACCCCCTTTCTGGGGAGCAGAACTAGTGTTCACCAGGGACAGACTCGGGAGGAGCAACTAACCAAACACGTTTGGTAACATTGGGAGTATGTTTTAATGCAGCACTACCGTCTAGCTCCAGGGGCAGGAGGATCTACTACTCACAAGGCCCCACAAACCACCTTCGCTCCCAGACTCACCCAGTTTCCTGAACCCGGGCACCAGGTCGACGAAGGTGGCTGTCCCATCACTCAGCCGGTTCCTGAACTGGTGGCCCAGGGTCAGGAGGTGATGGGCAATGTACATGCAGTTGTTATGGTGGATGGCAGCCAGCTGGGGAAGTTTCTGAAGGTTTTCTCTGGAGGGGGGAGGAGGAGGGGGGGGGGGGGGGGGGAGGGGGGGGGTGCTTAGAGAACGTGGGGGGGTCTCAACACACGTAGTGCCGTTTCCCTGCAGGTTACAACAATTCACTGGATACCCTTTTGAGAAGTTATAAAAGTCATCTGTGTTTTAAAGCAGGGGTCTCCAACCTGGGCCACTTTAAGCCTGGCGGACTTCAACTTGGAATTCTGGGAGTTGAAGTCCACCAGGATTAAAGTGGCCAAGGTTGGGGACCCCTGCTTTAAAAAGTTACAAAGTTCCTAGTGTTTTAATTTAATTTAAATTTAATTTAAATTTAACTCCACAAATTTAAAAGGAGCACACAAGAGAGTTAGTCCTCTTTTAAAGACCTGTTGCTTAGTGACTGTTTGAAGTTGCATCGGGCCCTCCCAAAGGCTACTTATGACCCGGTTTTAAGAGTTTGGATGGCTGCACAACCCCTGCAGAGTTTGACATTCCCAGAGTTTGACCACTGGCTGATCTTTGTGGCTGGTTGCCAGACGCCAAAGTCACACGGCCACATCCCACAATGTTTTTTGCCTGTTTCTGGTCTTTGGGGCCAGTTTCCAGCAAAAACATCCATAGGAATAAATGGGTCTGCTTAACAAGTGCCACACAAAAATAGTCACAAAATCAAGTCCTCAACATATGACTGCCACGATTTCTGATGGGAAATTCCAGGCTCCACTACGGTCAGGTTGAGGACCGCCTGTAATTCAGCAGGTTAAATCGGAGCTCTGCCTAGCACCCCCTCTGGCCTGGGCTGACTTCCCCCCTCCGGGACAGCCATCACTCACTTATGATACATGGGCACCACGTCGCAGAAGAGATGGAAGATGTTCCGTACCAAGTAGAAGAGCTGGATGCAACTGCCAGAGAAGAGGAGAGAGGGGAGCTGGGTCACACCTGCTTTTCCAGGCCCTCAAAAAAGGGGGGATTTGCCAGCTGTCCAGGCAAGCCTGGAAGGTCCTCGCTTGAGGCAACCCAGGGCCACCTACCTTCACACTGCCAAGAACCCAACGCCAAGGTGGTTAAGAGGGAAACCCTACGTGGTAGCCAGCAGCTATGAAAATTGATGCATGCGCTTGAAGAACTGATGAAAGAACATTCACACTGACTCGAAAGCCAGATCCTTCTATTTAGGCTTAGTGAAACGTGGGAATTCTGGGCCTGCAGTAGCCATGGTTTGGGAAGGACTTAAATGTTGGGAAGACAGGCGGAGCAATGCTGGGAGAAAGCCATCCAGCAGATTCCAAGCCTGGCACCCTGTGTGGAGATTTTCTGGCATTCAAGTGGGCGGGAGCATCATTTAGGGCAGGGGGGTTTTCTGGAGAGTGGGCAACATGAAATCAGTCTGTGGCTCCAGCCTGAAGAACTTGTAGACTACAAAAGTCTCTGATTACTTATTTGTACCCCATGACTACCATTAAGTGTTGCACCTTATGATTCTTGCCTCTTGCCGAATGTATCCTTTCTTTTATGTAGCATTTGCACCAAGACAAATTCCTTGTGTGTCCAATCACACTTGGCCAATAAAGAATTCTATTCTATTCTATTCTACATTCTATTCTATTCTTCTATTCTTCCTTCCTTCTTTATTCTATTCTGTAATTCTATTCTACTCTACATTCTATTCTATTCTTTCTCTATTCTATTCTATTCTGCATTCTATTCTCCTTCCTTCCTCCTTTATTCTATTCTATTCTATTCTGTAATTCTATTCTACTCTACATTCTATTCTTTCTCTATTCTATTCTATTCTATTCTGTATTCTATTCTCCTTCCTTCCCTCCTTCTTTATTCTACTCTATTCTGTAATTCTATTCTATTCTATTCTATTCTATTCTATTCTACTCTACATTCTATTCTATTCTATTCTTTATTCAGATATTCTATTCTATTCTATTCTATTCTATTCTATTCTATTCTATTCTATTCTACTCTACATTCTATTCTATTCTATTCTGTGCTCATGAATGGATTTATGGGTCCAAGAGGCCCCCAAAGGAGTCTCTCCTTTCAACAAATCATTTCATTCCTCCCTTGCATTACCATGGGAGCAGTTAGCATAGTTACTTCCTTGATTGGCACTATGAAATGAAGGCGTTATGGACAACAGCGGCAAAAAAGAAGCAGCAAGGCCTGGGGGGGTGGGGGGAGGGACTTAATCTCAAGGGGCCTCACCATTGGTCAGTGCTGGCAGAGGCCTCCTGGAGGGTCTGATAGGCCAAAGCCATCAATCTCTGGACCGAGTCGCTGATGCGGCAGGTGGGGAAAGAAAAGGTGTGGCGGCTCAGCTTGGTCTTGTTCTCCAAGTTGGTCACCTGCTTGAGGAGCAGCTCGGACCCTTCCGGCAGCTTTGACTGGTCCCCAGCTCCAGAGGCGGGCAGGGTGGGGAGGGTTACCAGAGAGTCTGGAGTGACCTGGGGGAGACAAAAGTTAGTTTTATTAATTTTGCTTGTAGTAAAACGTGGGATGCATTGGTGCCACGCTGTCTATGTGTTGATGTGTAGGTGCAGACTGAAATTTAAAAAAAAACAAAACTTGATTACAAAAAAAGAGAGAGAATCGCTGTCCTGCATGTTGTATGCAGCATTAGGAAGGAAACGGTGCTTTAGTAATGGTTTTTTTTTGTTAATCTCATCCTTACTACAAAATATTTCAATGGAAGCCCTACTTACAAAGGTACAGTAGCTTCAAAAATTATGCTAAATACTCAGAAGTAATTCCTTATATGCTTAAGGACTATAATATTCCCATGCCGGTTTCAGACGCAAGCATCTGAATCAGATTATTGTCCTTCAATTTAGTTTGGCTGACAATGGATTTCCAATATTTTGTTCGTAGATGCTAACCTTTTTAAAATAAGCATTTTTTTTTATTTTTGGGAAAAAAAGAAAAAGGAAAGTTCCCTTGGTTTGGTTTTGGGTCAGTTTCTTAAACATGGACACCCCCCCCCAGGAGGGCCCCCCCCCCAAGGAATTACAATGCTTTGGGGCTGGTTTGAGGGTTGGCAGAACTGCAGTTGGTCCTTCTCTCTCCCCATCTCGTTTTGCTCCAATAACTATCCGGCAGCAGGTAATATAGCCTGGAAAACAGGTGGGCCAGCCCAAATACTTCTTTTTTAAAAATAGATCTTGATTTGACAAGGACTCCCTCTCCCTCCCTCCCTCTCCCTCTCTCACACACACACACAGAAGTCTGACTCACATCCCAAGTAGCTTCCTCAAGGCAGATGCAAACGAGAGGAAAAAGGGGTATCCAGTTGCTTTAAGTGAACCCACCACCCATGCTCCACTACCTTCACGGTGTTGTGTATTTCTGAGGTCATCAGGTTTCTGGCAGCCACAATGACATCCTGGCATTTCTTGTTGGCAAAATGGCAGTTCACGTTGCGGGCGTAAGTTAGCAAGTCCATGGAATCCTCCGGGAGGAACTTCATGTCTTTTAAGGCTTTTTCAAAGTCTTCTGTTGCTTTAATAACCTGGGGGGGGGGGGGGGGGGGGGGGGGGGGGGGGGGGGGGGCATAGGAAGGCCATCAGTCTGTTCCCTGAGACCAGCTGATATAGGTGGATTTACACTCCCCCACCCTTCCCGAAAAGGCTGTAGCGACGTTCAACTCTCCCAGCCCCACAAAGCCATTCGGTGGTGCTAAAAAACCTTCAGCCGGCTCGCTCTATGAAAAGGCTACAGGCGGTCCTCGACTTACGACGATCGAGTCTGTCGTTAAGTGAGACACTTGTTGAGTTTTGCCCTCGTTTTAAGGCCCTCCTAGCCACCCACTGCCCTTATGGGAACCGCCCGGTTCTTAAGTGAACCTGGCTTCTCTCTGGACTTTTGATCGCCAAGATGGTCGCAAAAGGGGAAATCGTGTGACCCAGGGACACTGCGACCGTCATTAAGTGTGAATCGGTTGCTAGGGGTCTGAATTTTGATCACGTGACCCTGGGGGAGGCTGCAAAGGTGGTAACTCTGAACAGCCACCCAAGGAACGTAAGTCGGGATTACCTGGGCTAAGAAACGCACGCGCTAAAGAGCCGAAATTTCAGAATTTCGCTTGAGTTCCCTGGGCAAACCTCCTCCTCTTCCTCCCCTAATTGAAGAAGCAGCCCAAAGGCAGGCACGGGAGGTGGTCCCAGAGGTCAAAGGCCACAGCACCCACCTCCTTGTACTGGGCAAGCTGGCTGCTGTTGCTGGGGATGGAGTGCACCAAGCAATCGCAAATGAGGCAGTCGGACACCTTCTTCCAAACCACGTTGCCCAGCACCTCGGCCAAAACGGGCCTGGGGTCGGTCTCCGCCCCCTCCTCTCCCTCGCAAGGGCCAAGCGGTGTGTCTGCAGAGAGGGGAGGACGCTCTGGGTGTCAACTCGTCAAATATCTCTAGGGTCCCTTTTAGAGGTGCCAACAGAAAGGGAGGGGGGAGCAGTGTGGCAGCTTGCAAACCGAAACTGCATTCCATAAATGTTCTCAAAGATAGTAACTAGGTGACTGAAGTTTCTGCCATGCAAAATTCTAACTGGAGAGCCAGAGATTGATGACTCTGGGCTATGGAGGTGTCCCATTGGAGAATATGAATTATGATACACCCAGAGGGTTAGGGGGAAAACCAGGGTCAAGGGTGGCAATGAATTATGTGTCTCAGAGTCGGCTGCACTCAGGCAGTGCCGGACATGCTAACTCCCAATAAATCCTTTTGAAGGTTTGGAAGTTTTGCTCGAGACTCAGCACTTAATTGGGGTACAACTGCTGGAATCCTGACACTGTGGTTCCTTCTGCAACCGTCCCTTGACTGGGAGCCAACGGGCAATGGGAGCAGAAGCCCCTAGGGTCTTCCTGGGGCCCGTTTCCTCCTACCCCAGGCCCCTTTCTTCCAAGCCAGGTTGGGGGGTGAGGTCCCTTACCCAGCAGGTGTTGGTGGAGGACTTTGAACACCGATGTGAGCTTCGCAAACGCTTCCAAAGGGGATGGATGGCCCAGGTCAGAGCCCACAGACTCGAATTTGAGCGTGACGCCATCAGGTGGGTCTTCCACCGAGAGCCGTAAGGAGGGGCAACAGATCAAAGGCTTGAGGACGTGCTTCAGCAGTAACTGTCCTGGGGGGAGGGAGAGGGAGGGCAGTGAGCCAGGCTCGGAGGGTAGAGCAGCGTGACAGCACTTCTCAACGTGGCCTGTGACCCTCTTTCTGCCCTGTCCTCGCTCTGTTGAAGGGGGAGGGGGGCAATTCCCACAAGAACAGCATCTGGAGATTGGAGGGAGACAAGGGGAGGTGGGGTGGGAGGGGGAACAGGCTTCCTTTTGGACCAGGCAAAAAGGAATTTTAAAGCACTGGACCCCCGAAGGAGAAAGCTAAGGCGCAGGTACCGAATTTAGAACCTCTTTGCGCCGGACAAGAGCGCAAAGTCATCAATCGAACCACTTTCAACACTCAGGAAATCGCTGCTGCTGGAAGAGGAAGGACTTACCAAAATGCTTAAACTTCATCTCCAGCTCCCCCAGGGTGGCAAAAGCCTGCAGGACCGTTGAAACTCCTGGATCTTCTGTGGGCAGGCACAGGTGCAACTCCGTTTGGGTAGCTGCCTCTAGGCAGCTGAGTTCTAGGGAAAAAGCGTACAGCCCAGGTTACGGCAAACCATGGTTCCAAAGCTGCAGAAGAGCTGGGGGTGGGGGGGAACCAGCAAGCAGGCCTCGCCCTCCAGTCCAGGGGTCTCCAAACTTGGCAACTTCAAGACTTGTGGACTGAGCATAGCTGGCTGGAGAATTCTGGGAGCTGAAGTCCACCAGTCCCCGTCTGGGCGCTGTTTCCCCCCCCCCCCCAATCCCCTCGCCAAGTGTGGGGACCCCTGCTCTAGTCTTTAGTCATCCTAAGCAAGTAGCTGTGGCACATACTCCCCCAGTGTTACGTTACTTAGTTTACTTTATTAATTAGCCCACGGGCCATATCAAAATGCAGAGCTCCAAACATAAATTATTACTAAAATCAGATAAAAACAATTTAAAATGAAATTGGAATAAAATACAATTTAAAATGTGATTGGAATTCAATTCAATTCAATATGATAAAATTATATCCCCTCCCTCCCTCCCCGGTCTTTAGGCCACCCCAGAAAGAGGAGGTCTCAAATCAGAATTGCTCAGGGACGGGGTTGGGAGTGACTTTAGGGGTCTCCTAGATCAGGGGTCTCCAACCTTGGCTGCTTTAAGACTTGTGGACTTCAACTCCCAGGATTCCCCAGCCAGCCCCTCAGCAGGAACGCAGAGCAGGCCCAACCAACCAGCCTCTGCACCTGGTGACTGGGGAAGCTTCCAGACCACCATTCGCTGCCACTCCTGATCCAAAAGATACAGAATGTTTTGGGTCTGTATGGTGAGCTCCCGGCCGAGCGCCTTCAGGATCTTCAGCTCAAAACCCCGGCGGGATTCCATGGTTTTCAGGCTTCTCCGGGCCTGGCAGAAAATGGGGAAAGAATTGCAGAGTCACGCAAAGCCTGCCATGAGCCGAGCCATTCCACTGTAAGGGAGCCTGGAGGCCACCCAATGTCAGCGCTTCCTCAATGCGCCCATGGAAAGCAGAACTCCAAGGCAGGTCGATTCCTCAAAGAACAATTCACTGGATACGTCATATTGGCCCAACTGGTGAAAACCGACTCTGAAAGTTCCCACGGTTTTCACCTAATTAAAAAGTAAAGCCCCCCCCCCCCAGGTCATTGGTCACGTTGTCCAATAGTGTTGCTAGCCAGTTGCTTGGTTACTTTACTCCTCCTCTCCTGGCCCCCCCGTTGGAATGACCTTGGTTCCCACAGGAAAAACTTTTCCTTTTGACTGCAAAAGCCCAGCTAACTCTTCCCCCCTCTCCCTGTCCCCACTCCTCCTGCCTTGTGGCAGCCCTGAAGCCACCAAGATGGCCCCAGCCAGGTCCGCTTCAGGGCTGACCCCCAAGAGGGACACAAAGAGGCGTCCATCCCCAAGAACTACCTTGTTCAGGTGGACAGCTGCTGACGTGTACTTCTTCAGAGGCAGCAAGGTACCGAACTGCTTGAGAGCGGTGTCAAACTGCAGGCCAAGGAAGCAGAAAAGGGGAACACCAATAACTCAGGGCCCCAAGACGACTCAAAAGGAGCAGAGCTTCTCCCTCTCTTACCTCTTGGAGCTGCTTCAGCACGCTCAGAACAAGCACCTCCCTCTCCAGCTGCTGCTTCAGGTCCGCAAAGTCTGTGATGGCCACGTTGAGGTCTTGCTGGACCTGAGGAGACGCCGGAGGCGAAAACCACATTTAGTCTCTTTGGTTTACAAAAAAAGAATCCCCGTTAGTAGGCAAGGAGAGGTTTACAGTAACTTTATTGTCACTTTGAATGTACACTAATCGGTACCCATTCAAATGAAATGTCCTTGCACGCAGCTCTCCAAGGGCCACCGCCTCAAATATACACAATACAAACATGACAAAATACAACATCATGCATATACCCACACGTATTATATGACACAGAGGAACAACACAGTCTAGTCTGGATGTATACATGTACACGGTGAGAAGGACCAAGCTTGCAAATGTACCAGACGGCTAGCCTGGGGAGCAAAGTGTTCCAGAAACTGCTTGGCTTTAAGGAGGCAGTTAACATCCGTCAGAAGGGTTAGAGGAGGGACCAACCTCATTGTTTATTCATATATTGGATTTACGTGGCTGCCCATTTCAAAATAATGGCTCTGGCAAACCTGTATTTTATTTTAAAAAATATAAACAGCAGGAAAAACCAAACGCTGCAGCTGGGCTGAAAACACCTTTCTCAGTAACTGTGAATAGGACGCATGACCGGGCCCAGCCCGCCTGCTGTGGGATTTCTTTAGCCAGGACAAGTTCTCCACTGATCCACTGTCCTCACCTCGTTCTCGATCCTGGACCTTAGCTGGTCGATGCCGTCCGAGAGTTCCTCCACTTGGGACTCCAGGTCCTTGGCGCTCTGCATGCTGGGCAGGAACTCCACGTATCTTTGGTTGATCATGCTGCAAACCTCCTCCTGGAAAGGCCGGGGGTGGGTGGGGGGAATGACCATCAGGACCACCATCAAGTAACCAATACCCCCCAATCAAGGAATTGCCAAACAAGCCAACATTAAACAGCCCAACCATCCGCGACAGGACAAACCACTAGAATATAACCACTCCTTCCTAGCCCTGATGATGTTACCTATTTGGGTTATCAAATTTCTGCAAGGAAACGGTCAAGCTCAGAGAGCATCAAAGATCCCATCGTTGTCCTGTCCTCTCCAACTCCTCCCCCACCCCCACTTCCTTCTAGCACTGATGATACCTAGTCTGGGTAATGAAACGCCTGCAAAAAACCCAGCCAGGCTGAGAGAGCACCAAGATCCCCTTCTTTCGACAAACCCTCCTCCCTTCCAGCACTGAAGATGTTCCCTACTTGGGTCATGAGATGTCTGCAAGAAAACCACCCAGCTCAGAGAGCACCAAGGACCCCCCAGTCATCTTCCTCCTCCTCCTCCTCTCCTTTCTCCTCCTCCTCCCCCTCCCTGCAAACCCCACTCTAGCCCTGGTGATGTTCCCTACTTGGGCCATGAAACGTCTGCAAGAAAACAACCAAACTCAAAGAGCATCAAAGACCCCATAGTTGTCCTTCTCCCCCCTCCTCCTTTTCCTCTTTCTCCTTCTCTTCCTCCTCCTCTCTGCCACCCCCCCCCCCCGCCTTCTAGCACTGGTGATGTTAGCCAGTCAGGCCAGGAGACGCCTGCAAGGAAAGTTCTGAGAGCACCAAGGACCCCCATAGTCCTCCTCCTCCTCCTCCTCGTCCCTCCCTCCCAGCACTGACGATGCCCCCTGGATGCGTCGCGAGGCGCCTGCAAGGAGACCCGCCCAGCGCCCTTCTTTCCGACCCAGGCATGCAAAGCCTCTCCCCCTTTATTGGGGGGCTCCCGCCACAGGGGAGCCTTTTGGGGGGAGGGGAGTTTGAGGGGGGAGGCCCCAGACCCACACAAGGCTCCCCCTCCCCCTCCTTCTGTGGCTGCCCGGGGGGCCTAAAAGGGACCCCAATTCTGGGGGGCAGCCACGTGTCACCCCATACACGCCACTCTCCGCCTCGCGGGACCCCCCCCCC